CAGGAGGAAATTTTTAATAGCCCATTTCCGAGTTGATCTACGCGTCGCTATCGAAGCGAGGCCTGGGCTACAACCATTCATGTGAAAATGAGTTTAATTCGCCTGGGAATGAAATCTCAGTTTCATTTGAAAGGATGGGCACCAAGACTCGCTTTGAGAAAGTGGCTAAAGGAAATTCTGAAATGGCCTATTTAGACACACTTATCAATAATGAACCAATGCTAAAATTAATATTACTTGACCAGTGACTGCACTGATGTTTTGCATTATTTCATTGAGTTGGATTGAGTTCGATGTGCCAGTTTAAATAAGACCCGTTTAGTCTTTTCGATCGTATTGGCTGCAGTCGCAATATTTTTGGCATGATGAAAATATGGTGATTTGCTTTTTTGTTTATGCTAAGAGGCTGGAAATTTATTTATCATAAAACAAATCTTCTCAGGAAGCAATTTTGATCAGCGATTAAACATCAGTTTTATTATGACATAAATCATTAACAGCGGGACTTGCAGAAGAGTGGCTGCTATTTCTAGATATTAACATGACAGGAGAACAAAAGCTATTTGATATTTATGATTTGTTCCCAAACTGTGAGAGGACGCGAAAACGACAACGTATAAACTGTAAAGTAGCTTTCAAATAACACATCATGAAAATGGAGAAATTTAAATATTCTTGCATATCATAGAGATACCCAGAGTAACAGAAAGTTTCAGTATCTCATAGTGTGACTCCAGAGCCTTTTGGTGCCAGATATATGTACGCCATAATAACCCTTTATCATACTGTGACATCAGCCCTTCTAACTGGGATTTCGGCAAAATAGACCAGATGCCGTGAAAACCAGCTGCCGTGAGATTACGAGGAATACAGGAGAGAAACCCACTTCTGGACAACAGCCCAATCGGAGATGACCAATCGCAGCGGCTACGAAAAACCGTTCAACCAAGGCGAAAAACTGATTAAACCTCTCATTTCACATTATCATTTGTTTGCGATGAAGGGTAAATACGTTCTTTTGTTTACCTTTTTTCAAGCGATGAAGAAAACCGACGTCTTCCATGACCAAAAAGACCGCACATCCTCTCGTTCGGGTTTTTTTTGCGACTAACGAAAATAAACGACTTAACGGCCACGTTGTTGAAAGCTTTGAGTCACCCAGTTTGTTATCGTGCAGTCATTCATGTATGAGAACAGCGTGGTGCACTTCTACAAACTTCAAGCTGTCTTCCAAGAATGATGGTAGAGGGGCATGTGAGTTGAACAAACACGACATCTCTATGATCAAAGAAAATACAAATTTTCACGAAAAAGAAGGTGTTACATTCGCCATTCTCTCTAAGGTAAATCGATATTATTCGCATTGCCGCTGTTGAGTGAATGAAAGAAAATATAAACACTGTGTTGCCCAGCTCACTTTATAATTCTGCTGCACATGTCTTAAACGTGCCTTAAAATATTTTTGGCGATATCGATCAGTGAAAAATATAGACCTGACGAGAAGTCCGTTACAGATATTTGTGCTGGTCCTCCTCGTCTCCCTTCAATGTCCACATCAGTTTCTCGAGTCTCTGACGACCAAATCAAATCAAGCCCTGAATCAAAGAATTTTGTGGAAACATATAGTTTATCAGGTTTATTTACGGAGCTAAAAATGGCAACAGAACCAAATTTTGGACACAGTTCGGTTTTAATTAACGAATTTGCGTTTGCTGGATGTGCAATAAATCACAAAGTATTTTAAGTCAAGGGTAAATGGAAGGAGAGATAGACTAAATTATTCTTAGTAAAATTTTGTACATTTTTATTCACCTAACGGGAGTGCTGTGAGGGAAGAATATTGCCCGAGATCTTTTTGGTGAGGTGGTATTCTCCGTCCACGATCCTCACCTACTAAGATCCACTCAAAGGCTATGGATCTAATGGGTAATGCAGTACGCTTAATAGGGTTGCAAGCTCTTGCCATGTGATAATTTAACATTAATGTTTTCACGTCACTGAACTTTAATTTGCAAACTCTACGACCAGTCATTATATGTGTTCTGTTCATCTGTCTTCGACTGACTTGAGTGGCTATTAATTATAAGCTCGGTGCACACTTACACTTGTTCTAGTTAGATCGCGTTTTTATATTGCATACCTCGGCGTACGAATACGTGTACTCTGAGGCTATCTACGGAAGCTCATGGAATAAGGCTTTTAAAATTATCAACAGAATTGTTGTGCTCTTAATATTTTTTGTTTATTTTCAGCATCCATGCCAAGTCAACGTAAATAGCTATAGGTTTTTTTTTTTTTCTAATTTAACTCGTTTTTGTTATGTCCCCGTATTAGTAGGGGAGTTTTTCCCCAGCTAGGTGGTTGATGACATTCCTAAT